TTGGAGAAGATAATAAGAGCTGCAGAACTCAACCGCTCAGGAACAATATACTACAAGAGCGTGCAATTGCTGGCTTATGCCGATGACATCGATATCATCGGTATTAAAAACCGCTAAGTCTGTTCTGCATTTTCCAAGTTGGATAGGGAAGCAAAGCGAATGGGTCTGGTGTTAAAAGAGGACAAGACGAAGTATCTCCTGTCATCAAACAAACAGTCAGCAGATTCGCGCCTTGGCACCCACGTCACTGTTGACAGTTATAACCAGCATTAACACCGATAATAATGTCAGCAGTGAAATCCATTGAAATGCGTTGCATTTGTACGTTTTTTTGTTAATGTGTTAAGTGTTAAAGTGAAATTGTGAAAAAACTAAAGCAGCTAGAAAATTGTGGTTTGTTGCATTATATGTAAATAGTATAGCAGCTACCATAAGAAAAAAAAATAGATTTTTTCGACCAAAAGCTCCTTTGAAATGCCGACGACAAATCACCAAAGAGTTTGCCAATTGCATGTGTACATAATTTTCATAAGGTTTGCAGTGAGAGCATACACTGGCACATACATATGTATGTATGTTTCTTCGAACAAGAATTTTCATATAACCTAATACAATATAAACAATTTTCATATTTTTTTAATTAATATGAATTTTTTACCAATTTTAAAATTCTTTTCAACTAACATGCATTTATACTACCTACTATATACATATATTATTATATACTATATACTCGTACAAGAAGCGAACTTGAACACATGCTTTTTGAGTTTGTGGATTTTTTTATGTCGTTAAAGCAATATTAACTATTAAATAAATTATATTTAACAAATGGGCATGCATATATGAAGATCCGAAATGCTAACTGATATAAAAGTACAATTCAAGAATCACTCTTGCCAACAAGTGCTACTTTGGACTGAGTAGGCAATTCAGGAGTAAAGTCCTCTCTCGACGTACGAAAACCACGCTCTATAAGTCACTCATTATGCCCGTGCTGGTATATGGCTCAGAAGCAGTAGGCAACTGGCTGAGTCTGTGGGATCATCGGTTCGAATCCTACTGAAAGAAGTCTGATGAGGAAATGTGGTGATTTCCGAAATAGCTATCACTTCTACCATTTTTTCAAATTATTGTTGCTTTTCCACAATAAATTTTCATTTAAAAAACGGCCTCGAGCTCAATATAAATTGTTGAATATAATTGTTATAAGGCCAAAAAAATAACAAAAACAAATAACTTAAGGACGAGCACACCTAAAAGTTAAACATTCTAAAAATAGAATTATTAGCAAAAACCAACAATACCAACAACCACATGATCAAGTGAATTGCAGCGGAATAGCTGCGCTTGATTGTGTTGGCATAACAAAAATGAAAATAGTGGAAAAAAGCAAACGATAATTTACAAGGCGTACTTAGCACGGTGCATAGGCAACTGGCTGAGTCAGTGGGATCGTCGGTTCGAATCCTACTGAAAGAAGTCTGATGAGGAAATGTGGTGATTTCCGAAATAGCTATCACTTCTACCATTTTTTCAAAATTATTGTTGCTTTTCCACAATAAGTTTTTATTAAAAACGGCCTCGAGCTCAATAAAAATTGTTGAATATAATTGTTAAAAGGCCATAAAATAACAAAAACAAATAACTTAAGGACGAGTACACCTAAAAGTTAAACATTCTAAAAATAGAATTATTAACAAAAACCAACAACCACATGATCAAGTGTAAATCGTAGCGGAATAGCTGCGCTTGATTGTGTTGGCTTAGCAAATGAAAAAGTGGGAAAAAAGCAGCGATAATTTACAAGGCTAACTTAGCACAGTGCGTAGGCAACTGGCTGAGTATGTGGGATCGTCGGTTCGAATCCTACTGAAAGAAGTCTGATGAGGAAATGTGGTGATTTCCGAAATAGCTATAAATTTTACTCTTAAAAACAGGCGCACTTTTACTACATACGCCGAATAATGAACTCTAAAAAATGTTAAAGCAAGTTGCAACTTCTTTGTTTCCAAAGAAAAAATCCCAATCAATGTCACTTAAGGCCTTATCTAATTCCCTTATTAGTCACAAGAGAAGTATGAAAAAATTCCACAAATTCAACCTCTAACAATGTCGGAATGTGATGCAAATTAGCTGGAGATATTGAAGATGCAGCTTGCGACACAACAAAGTTTAAGTCGCTGCTTATAAAAATTAAATCCAAAAAGGGACACAAATCATTAGCTATACCAAATGTGACCAATTAAAGTCCTCGGGGACCGATGGCATCATAAATGCAGAGCTGCAAATGGCTCTGAAGGCGTCGTGCAATTGGTTGGATCCTATTTAAGCGAACTGCGTGAGGACCGGGCACATCAAGGCTTCGAGGGTAGTCAGTGTTGCGTTCATCCCGAAGGCCGAAAAGGCTCTCATGTTTCCCCTAGGGTTTTAGGCCTATCAGTCTCTTCGTTTTTGCTAAAAACGCTAGAGAGACTGCTAGACCTGTACATAAGAAACACGATTCCTCGTGACTGTCGTTCAAGAGCTCAATATGCTTATTGCAAGAAAAGGTCGGTGAATAGCGCCCTGCACACATTGGTAAAGTGGTCAGATCAAGCCTTCACGCATGAAGATTATGCAGTAGGGGCCTTCTTCGATATCGAGGGGGCCTTCAACAATGTCACTCCACAGGCAATAGTCAAGTATATTCATAATCTGGGGGTGAAACCAACCTAATAAGGCTTATTTACAGCTTACTTCGTGACAGAATTGTCGCGGCGGAGTGGGGGAGCGTCTCCACTCAGTGCAGAGTCAATAGGAGCACTCCACAAGGTGGTGTTCTCTCTCCCCTGCTCTGGTTTGCGGTTGTAAACGACCTTCTAGAGGAACTGGAAAAATTGGGCTGTCAGGTTATCGCCTATGTAGATGATGTGGAACTTTTGGTTAAGGGACGATTGCTATCCACCCTTTTTGATCTGGCTCAAGGTTACCTGAACCAGGTAACTAGGTGGGCGATCAACGGCGGCTGTCGTGGAGGCCTAACATTGAGGAAATGATAGGAAAGGTGTCGGTTACCTTGTACTTCTGTAGGGGAGCTATCGGTAAAAGTGAGGTCACTCGCCCAAATTAATGGGTCGATTACGGATAGCAACGCAACCACGGTTCGGTTGCAAGCTGGCATCGCAACTGGAATAAAAATTTGTATTACGAATGGCAACTTTTCCCTTTTCGCTCCTAAAAACGCTCCAAAACATTCCCAGCAACCACAAAAATATAGTCGGCTGTATAACACTTTGTAGCAACTGCAGTTGCCAGTTGCCATCTGTAATATCGTTTTGGTAACTAGCAAGGCTACTGAAGTTCGATTGCTATCGATAATCGACCCATAATTCATTAGCTCTAGGAAACCAGATTTATGCCTATATTGTTTCAACAAGCCTTTGTCTGGTGGAACTCAGTAGAGAAGGCTACACTTGTTAAACAGGAATTAGCATTAGGAACCACACCTGCACTGGCGCTTAACATACATACATATGTTGTACACGGCGCCTGTGGATATTGCAGACAGAATTGTCGCAGCACGAACTGCTATTAGGCTAAGGGAAACCGGGTCCTTTTGTGACATAAAAAAGGAAAAGAAATGTTTTTATAGGACACTTTAAAACAGGTTACCTCTCAAGGGCTAGTGTTGATACTTAAATAGCAAACCGGCATTTAAATATCTGCATACATCCATATACATACCTAACCAATTATGCATGTATGCTGAATTCGCCGACAAGCTTGTTTAAAAACTAGGTAAATTAGTACAAATTGTTAGTAATTTTCATTACAGTTTGAGTTACTCCTTTCACTAAATGGCTTTTAATAACATTAACGAGACCTTAACTTATTTTATTTTATTCATTTTAGTGCAGTTTTGACAAAATTTCATGCTAAATAATCTTTTGTTACACTACTTTATTTTATTCCTTTGATTGTGCATGTTAAATAAAAGCTTGTTTTTAAAAAATATTTTTTTTTTACATTATTTTCTTTTGTACTTTTTAGTTTTATTTTATATAACGAGGACATAATATTTTTATTAAGGGCTGACTCTCCATTTATGAGCGTAGTATAATATACGCGGCGTAAATCTTTTCGATCATCTGTTTAGACTGAGCAAAACACGTTGAGTTCAGGTAGCGAAAAAATTGTACGATGGAAAAATGGCGGAAAGTTGGCAACTGTTGAACTGAGCGGAACTACTCAACTGTGCGTTTCTAGGACAAACAGTGTACGGTTAGATAATATGAACGCGCCCAAAGTGTCACGAACTAGGAGCATAATCAGAAACAAATCGGTGTGTTATTTAATTTAAGCATTCAGATCAAGTACAAACCACACACCCGGTAGGTGCTCTACAGAAATTCGTATAGAAATATCCCAAGGTTAACAGCTGATTTATTCAAACTAATTTCCGGTATTTTATCTTACCAAGGAATTCACAATTGATTCTATCATACCACTGCCTAAAACTATCCTACATAGTTGCGCCGGCAAATTGCGCTCTGCTATCACTAGTATTAGTGGATACGCTGTAAAAAAGCTGGTAAGCAGGGATCGCACGATTTGTACATCTGTACAGATTTGTACATTTTGGCAGTCACAGAGTGTTGTTGTCTAGAAATGTTGAGTTTAGCTCAATAACAACTTTCAAACAACACCACTCTGTAACTGTTAAAATGTACAAATCTTGTGATCCCTGCTTTAGATGAAGATAAACATAGGGAGCTGCGAAAATGTTAAAATTTAAAGCTAAGTGCATAGTATACACTTAGGTTGTATGTTTGTTGTGTATGTGGAGATTCTTGCAAATTATTTTCAAATTTATACACACACATATATACACAGCGGTGAGCTCATGCCACCAACAGCGATGTTATATGCATAGAATTTCTACTGGGTATGTATGTAAGTTAACTATATACAAATTGATATATGTATATCCATACATGAGCAAATATGCCATATGGTAGAGCTGTCAAACTATCGACGAAACTATCGATAGTCTGGTCACTTGAAACAACTATCTATAGTTTTAGTACTATCGCCACTCTCGTTTCATTGATAGCGTATTCTCTTTCCTAGCGCTTTTGACATTTGCACGTATTGGTTCAAAGAGAACAAAAGTTGGAAGCATTATTTCATGACCGAACGCATAAAGATCACCCAGGACGGTGTGCGAGAAAAAAGTATTTTGTTCGCAGTGACGTCATTTTTTCGCCGCCATATGAATGAAACGGAATGAAACCATGTGTGTGAATGAAACAACCGATTAAAAAATTACGTTATCAGCTATTATTTGTTTTTTCTCAAATGCAATTACAAATACGCGGTTGCCGTGCTGGGTGATCTNGCTATTATTTGTTTTTTCTCAAATGCAATTACAAATACTCGGTTGCCGTGCTGGGTGATCTGTTTAGTTGGTTCATGGAATTATTTCTAAAAGCGCCATTTTTTATTTTAAGCGTGGGAATAGCAGAGCTTATATTGCCGTCTTAAGAGCGTGTCAGACCGGGCAATGCAGTATATTTCAAAAGACTGTCAAATTGAGAAATTTCAGAAAGCAGTTGCATGAGCAGTGCCACCTTGCATGTAAAGTGTCTTTTGAAAGCATTTTTTTTATTTCCGAAAGGCGAATTGTAGGGAAAATTTATGAAATCGCTTTTTCACTGTTTACACCGCGAATGAATTTCTAGCAATATTTAAATGGATTCATAAAAACATATGAAATGGGTCGATACTATCGATAGTCACCCTTAAGACTATCGTAAAACATCGATGGACTTGACTATCGATAGTTTGACAGCTCTACCATATGGAGTTACACCGCGCGGTACCATACCGCTGCTGCTTGAGCAAATCTCTATAATGAAAACAGCTCTTATAAAAATTTTATTTTGTTGCTTTAAATAGAAAAGTTCTTTATATGTAAAGTCTATCTTAAATTGAAGCATTTTCATCTAAGTTAAGGGCCCGTTGTTGATTTTGAAATTTTAGCAAAAGTCATTATAAACCATTTATGAGATTGAAAACGAAAAACGTGAAGCGCATGCAATACAAAGAATTAGATTTAATTGACAATGGTCAAACTACATAACATAGACCTAAAATTTCTACAGAGAAAGTACAAAATTTGAGATCGATTTTAAGCGGTCGTTATTCATATATCCACATTCATACATACATATATTACCCTTCATATCAATTCAGGTCTATTACATGCGCCCCTCGCTTTTCATTTTCAATCTCATAAATGGTTTATAATGATCTCTGCTAAAATTTCAAAATCAAAAGTTATCTATACAAATTCTATGGGGCTAAGAAATATTATTTTCTAATATTTAGTCCATTTATAACAGCGTTGTATATTAAAAAGTGTTATTTTATTTTATGTACAAAATTTTGCAATAGATATTAAAATAATTCAACTTGCAATGAAAGAGAGAACAGAACGAGCCCTAACCGCCAAAATAGCGTAAGCGACATTTTTTTTCAAAATTTTCTTTTTGATGTAGAAATATTCCTAGAGCATCTAGATACATTTCTGCATCAAAAAGAAAATTTTGAAAAAATGTCGCTTACGTTATTTTGGTGGTTAGGACTCGAGAAGACTATGCAAGAAAAATGTTGTTTGCTTACGTTTTGTATAAACATACATATGTACATATAGCAGCAGTTAATTTCATTAAAGAAATGGCGTGTCGTCCATTTCCGCTGTAGCGTATGTAAATGGTGCATATATTTAGGCGCAATATTTAAATTCTTCTGGCGGGGCGACATCTAGAGTCTTCTAATTGTTTCTCCTTGATATGACGCCTACAACGAGGTTCATATCTAGACTAGGTTGATATCTAGAATTTGCCACAACTAGCTTTGCTACACTACCGCCGGCAGCTTTAACAATTTTATAGTGCTGTTACGTTCTTTGGCAGATTACGCTCTGTTAGCCATAAATCTTACTATTTTTTGACCGCCTTTGAATCAAGACCCCTGGACCATATAGAGAATTCATTTATATTTTAAATTGCATTGTCATCGTGATTGGAACTATGCTGAAAATTTCAAGTCTCTAACTTGTCGGGAAGTTAGTTTAAAATTGACCAAGTTAAATAAAAGCTTGTAAAAAAAACACGGAAACTTGCACGGAGTCGCTAGTTATTATTTTTTTCCATGCCGCGTGCCACGCGGACTCGCAGCGACTGTGGTGCAACCAGAGAACGCAAAAAAAGATAAAATTTATTTACATACATAACCATATATTATTTAATAAAATATTTTTTAAAGTTGTGTATATAAATATGTTATGTACGTATGAATATATTTATGTATATACATATGCATGTATTTTGTCTTTACAGAGAAAAATAAGTGCAGACGATAGTATAATCGTTTGTGCCGCAGAAACAAAAAACAACTAAGCACTTTTTAACACCCCCAAAATAGTTTGCTACTTGTAGCAGTTATGCTGTGAAAAAATTTATTTGTGGATTGTTGTTCAAGGACATATGTACAATGTATGTATGTATATGTAGATACTAGCAATTACCCGGCATGCTTCGCTGCGCCATAAATGTATTTTTGTGTTGTAACTCTCTCCCAAAACTCGTATGTCCTCATTTATAAAATATGTATATTCAAACAGCTTTATGAAGTAAGATTTAAAAAAACAAATTTCGATCTATGAAGCATTATTTATTTTTTTTTTTAGTGTGGGTGTTAGTTAATATCTTTTCGAAGGTAATCAGAAAATATGTAAAGTACCGACGTTCTCTTGGAAATTTAATTTATAATCTTATAACTGGAGTCTACTATCGCACCCTTTCTTCAAACGTGTATTAATTCAATATTCAAATACCGTATATTTATCTAATTTGAAAAAATTTGCTTACTATACAAATATGTACTGCAGTATTTACTAATATTTTCAAATGTTGTGAGAGGGAGTAACAAAACAAAAATACTTTTAAGGCGCAGCGAAGCACGCCGGGTCATTTTCGTAGTTCACACAAACAAACCTATGCTTATTGTTGATGTTATTTCTTCATTTGACGTAGCGTTGCCGCTTTTGTTTAGGTATTGCACTTCGGCGTTAACGCTAGGCAACATAAAACGCTCAGCCCAACGCTTTTGTGTAGATATGGCAGTAGGCTTTCTTTAACCTTTTACTTTTGACAGCCATACTACAACATTTACTTTATCTTATCAATGTGCTTTAACTGAAATTTACAAAAATGGTCTCTCTAATATTGTTTTCAAAATTTTAAATTGGACCTCTACCAATACAGTGGTGAGAAGTGGTGTCCCTTATTCGGAAATGCAGTAAACTCAAGAACCAGGGTCTTTTACTTCTAAACTATAATTGCTGGAAAAGCCCAATTATAGTTTAGAAATAAAAGAGACTGATGCTTTGTTTTGCTGCATTTCCGAATAGCCCCTTGCATTCAATTTCATGCATTAGTTTTTGACTGATGCGTGTGCAAACATGCACACACAGACACACAAAATTTCTAAAAAAAACTGTTGATTTGGCTTCTGTTGCTCTAATAAAGACCTCCTATATTAATATTTCTTTAATATCTTCTGTTGCTCGAATAAAGACCTCCTATATTAATATTTCTTTAATATCTATAATGTACAGACATCGGTCTTTTACAATTTTATTATATGTATAGAATTAAGCTTGAGAACTGCAAAATCGAAGGACATAATTGCACTTCCATTTCCAAACGAAGTGCTATTTTTTGTCCCCCTCTTTTTAATATTTTTTATGGTGGTATAAACGAAAAATCAAAAAACAGCATTATACGATCCAAATAATAAGCCACTAACAAAGCTGTTTTTTTTTTATTATTGTAAGCCGTTTTGTGTTCTTTTGCGAACCGTATTTTTTTGATATATTTTACCTACTTCAAAATATTTCTCCCCGCTCAGGTTATTCGATAATCAACCTGAAAAAAAGTTTAAGCAAAGAAACAATAGGGGAATTCGCGTCTTCTGTGAATTCGTTGTATGTTGTGTAATTGTAACTGCATGAGCGTGTGATTTGTTGTTGCTAGAGGTACATCAAATACACATGCAACAACAACCACACGCTCGTCCACTTACACTTACGCAGGATACAGCGAATACACAGAAGCGCGAATTCCACTAATGAAAAAATGCGTAACTATTTGTAAATGACCACTTTAACTTTTATTGTTATTTTCTATTTTCGGCTGCAAAATTTTATCAACATAAGCATGGCTTTCTATTATAATACTGTCCCTCCGAAATTTCCTGAATGTCACTTTTTTCATTTCCTTGTTTATATGTTTTCGTTAAATAAAACTCTTAAAAAAAGTGAAATATTTCCAGAATGTCACTTTTAGGCGAAAAAAGATTTTATATTTAAAATGCTTATTTCTCCAAAAGTGTTCAAATGGCATATATGGGAAATTGTTGCCGAAGAAAGATTAAACAAAAAAGCCTGGCTTCCAACAAAATCCATGACATGAAACCATGAAGAAGGTGGAAAAAACTTCAACATTAGCTTATGTAATAAATGAGATTCAAAGTGATATGTAAATGTTTAAACAGCATGCATTTAATGTTAAAAATCAGTACAATGCTTATCGGTTAGTATACTTTTTTCTAATAGTTTCTAAATTTATTTAATCTTTTAACTTAATTTTAAAACAGTAACATTCTGGAAAATATTTTACAAAAAATCAAAAATAAGAAAAAAAATTATCTTTGAAGAGGCTGAAAGCACTTTCGTATTTGTGTACAAACATACATATATATGTATGTTTAATTTTTGTGTCAACCACATACTGCACATTAGAGCTGGAAAACTATCGATGGCACTATCGATAGTATCGATGGTTTTTGACTATCGAAAACATCGATGGTTTTGTAAGCACTATCGATAGTTTTCACTCGTACATACATTATTCAGTGACATACATATTTCAGAGCGCAGATGCTACTTGGAGCTAAAAATCGTTGATAAACTTTTGTTCCTTGAAAAAGAAAATATCGTCATATTTTAGCAATTCTGATCTCATTTTCAATAAAAGTTGTTATGTTTAATTTTTGGACTGTTTTAATCAAAACTATCGATAGTACTATCGATAGTGTCGACATTTTCGATAGTATCGATACTATCGATGGTTGTGACTATCGACTATCGAAACTATCGCTCTTATGTGTATTCGTTGTATGTTGCGTATTCGTAACTGCATGAGCGCGTGATTTGTTGTTGCTAAATACACATGCAACAACAACCACATGCTCGTCCATTTACACTTGCACAGGATACAGGGAATACACAGAAGCGCGAATACCACTAGTGATCGCTGTTTAGCTCAAATACGTTTATGTGGTACAGCGCAGCCACGTCGCTAATACACATTTCGTTTGCCTTTGTGAGCTCGTGTTTGATCGGCACTCATGTACAGAAGTCGCGTAGCTATGCGATGTATTTGGCTACCAAATAGGCTTATGGTTGTACGTATTTGTAGTTATTGGTAACTTTATACCCAAAAAAAGGGTGCTTATCTTCCAAGAATAAAAAAAAATAAGTATGCCAATCGGTTTCTTTTTACAAATGCTTCGTTTAAAAAACATAATTGAAAATTTGCGTAAATAGAGAAAGAGGCCATTCCACATGCGTACAACTTTGGCGTTGCGTTGGCGTTGAATTTCAATGCAACCGTCCGCATAGCCCAAATTTGACAACGCTAAGGCCAACACAAAGCAGGAAGATCGCGTGCGTCGGTCGTCAGCTGTTGCAAATAAATAAAATTATGTGAAATATTTTTTCATTCAGGGCAAGAAATATAATTTTTCATGCAATTATTGATATGAAATATTAATTTATCTGTGGTTAATATGTTAATTTAGTGGCAAAAGCATTCTCTGCCAAGCTTCATTGTAGAAAGCATACTTTTAACGTGCATACGCAACGCCAAAGTTGTAGTATGTGGACCGGCCTCTATTCTTTGTTTACGCAAATTTTCCCATATTTACATACACTAGGGATGTCAATTTTCGGGGCTTTGTCGATCTCGGTATTTTCGGGATCCGAAAATACAATCCAGGGATCCCGGGATTGTCCCGAAATTCAGGCAGTTTTATTTTCGTAATTTTTCCTTTGCCAAAAAGTGCAACACATCTGTGATCATCCTATTATAGTATTTTAAATCAGATTGATAAAACAAAAAAAAGTACAATTTATTGTAATTCATTTACATATTTATTAAGGCAATAAATCAGTGTTTTCTATCAACAAAAAACAAACATAAAATTTGACAAACATATATGTATGTATGTACATATCATCATTAATTTATAACATAGTTTTTGTACTACAAGTACAAATGCAAATACGGTCACTCACAGAAATATTTTGCATAGATTTTTTTTGCAGTATTCAGAATATTTTTCATGGTATTTTTTTTGTTAATTTAAAAAAATATATATGTATGTGCAATTTTGAAGTTGCTAAAACATCCCGTTGACTTTTTGTATTTTTTTTTTGCCACAAAAAAATGCGTTATAAGGAAGAAAATGCCCAACATCGTCAGTAAAAAAAAATTCAAAAGTCAACGGAGTTTTTTTTTTTAAATTGCACTTTATTGTATTAAATTGAATGGGCTATAAAACTGCATACTAGAATTTTTTGGAAAAATTATGATTAAAAAGTTTGATATTTTTATGGTAATTTGGTGAACTTTAACCAACTTTCTCTAAAGTGTGAAATTTTGATTTACATGATTTTTGCTGTAAAATGGGCTATATATTTTTTTCAATTAACAAAAAAATTCCATGAAAAATATTCTGAATATTGCAAAAAAAATCGATGCAAAATATTTTTGTAAGTGACTGTATTTGGTACAGCAGTAACTGCCTATGTATATAAAATTTTTTAAATCACTGTTTGAGATCAATTTAAGATATTATCAGTATATTTAAGTAGTAACACAAAAATTAACACATTTAAGTAAAATGATGGAAATGCGATTTTAAAGAAATTATAGCATTAAGGGTGTTATCCTCTAACTTGGACCAAAATCTATTACATATAAAACCTGCAGATGAGAAGCATCGTTCCGCTTCAACACTTGTTGGTTGGATTGTGGATAAAAAGTTAAATGCTTTCTGTAGGTAATAGCCTTTATCGCTACCATTAGAAAAAATATCAATTTCTTTTATCAAAACTACTGATAAATTGTATGATTTTCTATTATGGGTCATTTGCGAGCTGCTCGTTAAAACTTGATGCAATTTATCTTTGAGACTTACTGCTTTATCTACTTAAACTACTTCGTCGTTAGTGTTATTAATATCGCTTTCGTAATAAGGCTCATTTTCTACATTAAGGAGGATATTCTCGAGCTCCTTTCTAATGGCAGTAAAATCAAGAGCTTCAGAAAAGTCATATTTAAGATTATACAGATGATTTGGATTCATCAAAAAAGAGTAAACATCTGATAGAATTGTTCTCCGTTGCTTGATCCTTTCAACGAGTTTATTACACAAGTTTTTGCTCAATGTAGACTTCTTCCTTTTTATTTATTCAAGCATAAAATCCAAAGCGAGATCACATTTGAACAAGTCCATCTTGCGAGCGCATAAGGCTTCAATAGTAATTTTAACCGGGTGGAGAACACTAGCAACTTCTTTAATAATATCATACTCATAATCAAGCAAGGAACTCATTTTAAGATCAATGATGGCCTTTTTTGTACTGTCTTCAAGCAAAATAAATCTTTCTAACATGTCTAACATACAATTCCATCTAGTCTTACAGTCTAATATAAGCTTCAACTCTTTTTTTGTGCTCAAATTTAACATAATATTGCAAAATTTCGTTTTTAGTAGGCGATTTACGAAACGCACTAACAATGTTTCTTACTTTCGTTATAATTACGGTGACCATAAATATGGATTCAAAATGAAGGACAATTTTTCAAAAATATGCCTACATATATTTACGTAGTATAAAAATATCAAGAGTATTTATGATTCTAAATTCTTAATACATTTTAAACTTTAAAATTGAATTACGTTTTCTTCATCGATATTAATCTTTTTTACATGAATATTTATAAAAGTATAGTCAAAACATATTATAATTAAATAGCTTACACGAAAAGTGAAAATCTTTAAAAGATTATTTTATAGGTAAATTTTGAGTCGTTCAAGACGAAATCAATACCCTTTTTTTCATTTCACATCAATACCCTTTGAGCTGTAAGTCGCTTACGTTGATTGGGAGATTTTTTCATGAGATATTGAAGAAAAGCTACGAAAAGTACCAAAAAAACACTTTTTTGAAAAAATCCATCCATTGTCCGATAATTTTAAAATAACGAATAAAATGCGGCACAAATGCAGGACACTTGGAAAAAATCAGTACATTTTCAGGTTTTTTAGGTTTGAAAAACTACGCAGGACCGACCTTTGAAAAACAGTACGGTCCTGCAAAAAACAGAACGGATGGTCACCGTTGTTATAATAGAACTAAAATTATATTTTTCTGTAGTCTTTGCACGTTTATCACTACCGCAAATCACTAGGCCGTCCTCATCCTCTAAATTTTCAAATTCTGATTCACTATCTGCAGCGTCAGCATTTTCTGAAAATTTATTTATTTTGAAATTACCAATTTTTAAGAATAATTATATTTAACACGTACCATGGTTTAATGTTTTTGGTTCCGTTTTATATAAAACTAGTGAACCCACATGGCGTCAAAACGCCAGCGTTTAATTAAATTTTTTAAACAGGTGAAACCCTATTCAAAAACCTCACAACAATATTCCTAATAGTTAATCTAAACCATTTCTCAGTGAGAGAGGTCTCGCATGGTGTCGGTTTTCATTTCATCAAATTTCAAATCTCCCTGTAACTTAAAAAAATAAGACCTGT